GGGAAAGAAATACCAGAGACAAAAAATGCCCCCAACTACCCTATTTATGAGGGAACGAGTTCACTTTATCATAATTCTTCATTCAGAAGTGAGACACGGTATCCCCAAATATCCTCAATTATTAAGTAAATTATTAAGTAATTCTGAACACTGGATTGTTACTCTGAAAAATGCTGAAAAAGTTCTCAGAATATTCTGTGTAAACTTTTCAGCTCAGGTTGTAAATGTTGGAAATAATAGTATATGTGAACAGAGTTCACACTAAATAATATTAATCATAAAAGCATTCTTTAAAATGTAAAGACTAAATATCACGCCACCCGAGGCTAGCAGGGATGGAATTCAGATTTTACAATGATGCAGTTCAATGTCAGTATAAAAAAAAATAAAATTAAAAAAAAAAAAATCATTTATCTCAGTTTGTGTTCACAGACCACAATTTGGAACGGGGTTGTTAACCTGCTTGTGATTCCCTGGCAGGAAGACACACAAACCATGCTGAAAACTTGCCCCAGGCTGTAACCTTCGTAATTTCAAGCACAATTCATTCTGAAATTTGTCAGTCTCCTCTTGGTTATAAAGCACACCATCTTAAGAGGTACATGCACTCATGACAATATATAAAAGCTTGCAATTTCTAATGCTTCCAAAGCAAAACATAGCTTTACAAATCTTGCATCATGAAGCAAACGTTTACCACAACAACAAAATACAAACTAAAAAATCTGCATCTTTGAAAACCATATAAAGATAATTTCCTTTTTAAAGCAAGATGGGTTCTTATTTTACAGCTTAGAGTAATAATAGATATTATAGTCTACTAAATAGCAAGTTGAAAGTTACGATTATGAATTATGAGGAAGCAAACAATACTTGAGAGATGAGAAAGTCTGAAGAAGTTGATGAAAATACTGAGCAAAACACTGTTCTGCCTCATTAGGCCACTAGATTATCTAAAGGAATGAGTATTTGGTCTTTGGGCAGTGGTCAAGAGATGCTCTCTCCCCTGCAATGGTATGTCCAACTCATTGAACGGAGCTGACCATAAACAGGGCATTTCTGCTCTGCCCCTCCTGGGCAATACAGTTATACCCTGAAGCATGAGACTGGATTAGCTTTATTGTCGTTTTGAACACCCTCAGATACAAACATTATTAATGGTCACGTTACCCAGGCCTTTATAAAAACATGATGACAGTGTGTATCTTAATGGTTTCTGGCTACAGCAAATTCTAAGTAGAATATGACTATATACATCTTGCACCAAAGCTTTTCATTTTTATTAGCATGCATTCAGAAAAGAACAACCGAAGTTGTTCTTCCTTGCTACTATATAGGGGGATTCAAACATTTGATTATTAACAGAAAGTGTATGTGCAAATCTTCCCTTTACTGACAAGGGTATGTCTTCATGGAGAATTATATTTTCAAAGCAGCTTAAATTTCTTACCTGTATGGTAAAATGTGAGGAAAAACAAAAGCACTCCCATAAACACATTACTTAAAAAGGTGACAACTCCACAGGTAATTCCTTCTGGAACAGGGTAGACTGTCTCCACAAAGAGCTCAAAGAATATTGGTACACTGCTGTTGAGGAATATACCCAACAAAATACAGGATGTGTACAGTGTTGCTATAAAAGAAACAAAACCAGTTATTAATTTCACACTGGCATTTTTTCCCCCTATTCAGAGCTGCCAAGAATACGAATACTTGAGTAACTGAAAAATGCACAAACTTATTTTTATCCTCTGTGTATCATAAAGCATATCACATCCCACTAGTTTTAAGCAGAATGCATGCATTAATTTGGAAAAAAAGATTAGAAATACAGATTTTTTTTTTTTTTTTTTTTTTTTAAACAGAACCCATGAAAACACATTCAGTGATTTGGAATTCACTTGTAAGTAAAACAAACAGAACAAAATTATGAATGCAAAGCATCACCTACAGCTTGATTTACCTCTGAAATGAACAGAAACTATTGTCCTATACACAATTAGGACAGGGAGCAATTAATGCACCAAACTGGAAATGGACATGGATTAACCTTTTGACTTAGCTCTAAAGGTCAAAACTAATTTTGCTTCCGTTTTACAAATAAATACTAATGATCTACCAGATATCAAGACATTACTATTTATCACGGCCTGAGCTGCAACATGTTGAATCCCTTTTGGCTTCAGAAGGAAATGAAGGGCACCCAGCACCTGGCAGGAACGGGACATACCTGATAATGCAGATTATTCACTGCTGTACAACAAATTACTTTTCTTGGACGAATCAACAGAAGAACACAGACATTGCTTCAGTAGCCTCAGATATTTTGTTCTACAATTTCTGACCCTGCCAAATACTTTACAGTGCTTAACAGAGATGCTTAATATGCCTATATTATCTATTAAGAAACCTATTACATCTATTTCTGAAAAAAAGAAAACTTCAGAAGAATTTAGTACCTATTTAGAAATGTAAATAAGTCTTTGCTAAGTGCTATCTTGGAATGGGGAAGATTTCCTGACCTGCAGCCTCAACAACTTCAGGTTACTGACCAAGTAAAAAGTATAAGGAAGCGATTAGAAGGCTTGGAAAAAAAAAAGTCTGGAACATTTTCTGGGGTTTCCACCAAAATGACAAGAAAACGTAAAGAAAAATTTTTCAGATGAGAAAGTGTTACCAAGTCACAGGGAAATTATTTATAGCATTATTTCACTGCAGTATGGTACAAAATCCTTAGACAATTTTTTTTCATATGGATATATATGTTTATATAAAATAGAAACTGCATTTTCAGTTTAATTTACGTTCTTCTGTCTTGGAAAGGGGAGAACTGAAACAGCTCTGCTTCATCTTCTGCAAGATTTGCTCAATCTTTCAATTGAGAAACTTAAGAAGCAGAAAACTTCCAGCTTAAAAATAAATAAATAAATAAATAAAACCCACTGTTTCTTAAAATATGAAGAATCGTGGAAAAGAGATAACGGCATTAAGAAGCAGAAAGTGCTATCTATCAGATCCTCCATTTGATGTGGTTTGCTTCCAAGGCACAAAGACGTATTTCTTTCTCTACAGAGGATTTGCCTGGGCAGGAAAAAGAGGACAGAAGACTCGGGCAGAAAGATGATACAGATGGCACGACTTCAGGAGGGACAGCTGGCCCCCACTTTTTTTTTTTTAATATACCAGAATGTTCCGAGTTGTTAAGAAAAAAAAGAAAGAAAAAAAACCAACCAAATAAACGATGATAACCTTTTCAAATTCTCAAATTCTTATTATAAACTGCAGAATGAAAGGCAAAGAAATGGATGCCAAGTATGTTCAAGAGCTCTCAGAGAGGAAGGAAAAAACCAAACCAGTATTAGGATGCTCTTCCTAATCGGCTCTTCTAGCTAACACTGAAGAACTGATTCCCTAGTTACAAGATCCATAGGTTTTTGCTGCAAGGCCTCACCAGTATTTAAAATTTCATGAGCCTGTCTTTAAATTCCTGTTTACCTCAAACATGACTGCATATTGCTTTGTCTCTAACTGCTATCAGGTGTAGCCAGCAAATTCGAGCACTGAATTCAGCTATTTGATATTTTTGTGTTGGCTTGAGAAACCAACACAGAAATGAAATAGAAGTATATCTCAGGACAAATGAACATCTGCCCCTCATTACGCTCAATTAAAGGCATCTATAGATAACTACTTATAACTTCAAGAAATTTTCAGAACTTTCCCCCAAAGAAAAGGTGGTGATAGCCAGCGGTAATTCTGTGTTAGAAACTCAAACAGTGAATATAGTCATGAAGCTGACGAAAGCCGTAACGAACACCATCAAAAGTGGAGCTGCATACAGAGAGCACCAGAAGCAATACCTCTACAGGGAGAATGAAACCTCTTCCATAAACAGCAACAGCCAGGAAAGGGGAATCATGTGCCTCTGAACAGAGACAATCTCTAGCCGTATAACTTCCAGAAACTTAGATTCACTTGAGGTAAAGGCAAAAATATGCATCTAAGATTAGCAACCATTTAAAAGATCAAGACTTCAAATTTTCATCAATACAGCAGATGCAAAAGTTTCCATAAAACAAACGGAAGCCTTCAAAATAAATTTGATAGTTTAAAAATATGCTAGTTGAATTACATCATTGCTCATCACTTACTAAAATGTATTAAGACGACTAGACCGTAAGCAAGTAAGCAGAGTAACTCTGTACTTTAGAAACTACACCCTTACATTTCCTGTCACTACAGCTTGCTTTAGTCATACATTTAGCAAATACACCCACCGGCACACAACTCGCACTTCCACACTACCATGAGCAAAGCAGCTTTAGCGCTACCTTTTGTTTCCCCAAAGTATTACCTGCCTCACGTGCGCACGCCGAAAACTGCCAGCTGAATACCAATGACAAAACCTCTGCTGAGATGACAGACAATACTTATAAAACAAGGTGTATGTGTATGTACACACATATTCGGAAACTAATGAGGAAATGTCAAGGCAAAAGGACAGTCACAATATAGCATCCAGTAAATGCCAATTTAAATTCTAAGATCTAATGGAAATGACAGCTTTAACTGGTAAACCTCAAAAAGCGGCTCTGAAAGTGAAGGAGCTGTACACATCTGAAAGGCTACAGGGTTCTCCCTTAATGGGTACATACTGTATTGATGGGAAAATATTTTTTATTTCATGTTTCTGTAAATCATCCAGGGTCTTCCTGAGTGCTATACAAATAAGCTTATTCCATTAACTTGGCAATTAAGTCACAAATGCAATTGGTCAGCTAGACAGAAAGTCAAAGATAAGATATGCAGTTTCACAAAAATAATTTACAGGAAGAAGTCAAGTAAGAGTTCAAAAGTGGTTTCTGCCTTTTATTTCATACACTAAATAGCACATCTCATATTCCAGCTCATGGGTAACAAGATACTATAGCAGGGAAAATACCACCTATTAACAGAGACCATTTACTTCCCATTACAGCGACCTTGCATTGAACGAACACAATTACCATGATTTTATACTGTAGAAGAACAGCTGCTAAAGTTACAGCGAATGTTTTTTCAATTAAGACAATCTTGATGACAGTTGTTGGAAATGAATATAAAGATATGAAAATGCTGCCCACAAAAAAAAAAAAAAAAAAAAGATGATTGACCAAGAAGCTAACATTATGTCCTAAAGCCTAGCAAGGACAAACAACTAGCTTGGATAGGCCTGTGCTGGGGAAGCGTGTCATGCCATTAGTATAAAAAAAGATCACTTTTCCTTAGGAAAAGGAATTAACTGCCTACGAAGCTATGCACAAAGTTGTGTACCCGAGACAGTGGCAGCTGTGAACATCAATAAATAATGGAACTGGGCTGGGTTTCTCTAAACTATTTGATTAATGTCATGTTTTAAAGATGTTTGTGTGAATTAAGCAGCTATTTCACAGGTTGGCCACTGCAAGGAGCGGGAAAGGCAAAACACCCATCCAAAGCACAGCTGCTTCAGAGAATTGGCCTGGAGCTGCCGCGGCAGGAAGCTCAGGCTAGGCTTCGTCATGTAATGTTCATGCTTGAGGTCTGAGGCAACCCACGCTATTCCCTCAGCGCTCATTCTCCTCCTGGCCAGGAAGGAAGCAAGGAATGAAACGTGCCTCGATAATAGCACTAGGGATGCTACCAGTTAGGTGAGGCAAGGTACCGACCGGGGACTGATGGTGGTACAGTGGCTTAGCACAAAAAGGAGAAAAAGTGGTAAGAAGTTAGGTTCGTTTCTGGCTTCTTGTCCCCTGCAGGTCTTCAGTTACCGGATGGCAAATACATGCCCATACCCCAGAAACAGACTTTCTTTCTCCCAGCCACAAGCTGTGGCAAAAGCTTTATACCAATTAAAAAAAAAAAAAAATTTAGGGAAAAAAAAAATTAGGAATTCGAACAGGGACGTGATTTAAATGACAGCATGCACTTGGTGTCCCCAGATGAGCTTGCAACACAGCAGAAGGAGTCTTAAGTATCTCTGACAACCAAACAAGTTCCCAGAACTTCCCAGGATGTTCTGCAACATGTTTAGCAATTTACTCTTAAATTATACCATCACTAAATGTATAACTACAGAGCCTGATCCAAACCCAAATGAAATTAATGGAAGGACCTCCACTGATGTAAATAGTTCTTATCAACCCATTGGCAAGTACATCTTGGCTGATTTTTAACAAAGAATATGAAATATTACCATTTCTTTAAGAAAAAAAAAGTATTTTGCAGATAAATTTACAAAAGAAATGCAGATACTCTAGAGCAGTATCAAGTGCAAGCAGGTGGTACAGTATCTTCTTCCAAAGTCCTCTGCCAGGAACTCTTGAACTCTGTACATTTTGTAACAGCTCTCTTCTGAGACAAACCGAGCCAAGACTCACACAAATTTCATATGGATAAACAGGAAAGTAAATACAACTGATCATGTTCTCTTGGGTGCAGCACACAATTTAAAGTGAAACCTACAGGGATCTAGGGCATTTTGTTATTGCCCATTAAAACAGCACCCTGAATGCCAAAATGAAAGGATAATGTCTCATGTAGATGGATGCTTCGTTGACTTTAGTATCCCCACAAATGATTTGAACAATTCAAAGTTAGTTCCTATCAAACTCT